ACCCCCCCCCCCCCCCCACCCCCACCCCTGGGCTTGGGTGCAATTTCATACCGAAGTCTGAAGTCTGAAGTTAGGTTTTGTGCAACTGGTCACAGTTTTTAAGTCTTACAATCTTGCACTTTTCTTCCAATTTTGGTTCTTCAGGTTTCAATTTTGCTAATTTAGGTTGTACAAAAACACCCACAGAAAATCTAAGGATCAAACTCATAGTGTGACCATTCAGATAAAACCTCCTCAGCAAATTATACTCTTACATGGTAGCATCTATTTCGGGTTTTTAACAAAATTATTTATTTTTGACGTGAGGGCAAAACGTATGTAGTAAGCGTCAAAAAAGAGATATAAGCTTAAAAAACAACATGCTTGTAAGCTTGAACTAACCTTGAACACGCTGTTCCCTCCACATCCAGTAAGCGATTCCCTTGCAGTTCTCTGGGATATCAGCATCAGATGAAATGAGACGGACTCTTTTCTTATTGAACTTAAAATCTGTCACCGATTTGCAAACTTCTTTACGTTTCGCCATGTACGATTCCAAGATGTCGCCGCCATGTTCAGTGACCTCTTTCTTCGACCGTTTTGGGGGAGGTTCGCACGCCATGAAGACAAATCTCAGGTTATTTAAATGTAAAAGCTGCTGCGAAATACGACGAGGTATCAAACAGGACGATCGAAGGGAGGAAAAAATGTTGAAAAGTTTGCTTTGATCAAATCACATGTAAACAAGAGTCAAGGAGTCAAGTATCATTACATAACTGTTCCGATTCCCGCGTTTCGGCATGATACACCACGTGACCAGTGCAGAAATGAATAGGCAGAGAGACACTGGAAACGAGCCCATATCCCTCGGGAGACCCTCGGGATCGATCAGAACCGACCGATTTTGGGTCTAGTCCGGAGCCGATTACTGTTGAGTTTATAGAACGCGATTCGAGTTACCGAGGGTTCGACTCACCGTTCCACTCTATGTTATATTTCACAGAATTGTCGCAATTTTAAAAGTAAATTCCTCATCTCTGTCAAAAACGGACACCTTTTGGGCAGTAAGCGTTCGTCAAGAGGTCATAAAAGGTGATGAAAATTATTGAAGAAAGGCAGGGACCAACTCTGACGGTAGTTTTAAAAAGTGTCGCCCTTGTAGGGGAGAAAATCAGGAGCCCATCACGGACTGATGGGCTCCTGAGAAAATGCAACCTCTTCCCAATGGGCGTTTTCGAAATTCTCCACACTGGTCTGCATAAGTCTGGAGAATTTGTATGTGGATATTGGGCCTTCAAGATTTCACCGCTTTTAGTTTCCATTTTTCAATGACTGACTTTTTTTACAAAAGAAAACAAAAACAAGGCGCCAGATACAATATCAATGCCAAAATAAAACAAAAATACTGTCAAGTGTACACTTGGATAATCCGAGACAAAAAGATGAATCAGTAAGGCACACCGCTGAGGGAATTCGTTGTTATGACTACAGCCTTTTAAAAGGCCAAGGATAATTAACGCTAAATTAGCGAAACAAATAATGAACAAAACCTGTGCCACCTTTGTTCTAATATTTGGGTTCAATACAAGCTTAAATTAGCCTTGAAACAAATGGCTGGCACTCCAGATTGCAATGGAGCAAAACATGGAGTGGCCCAAACAAATCGCTTTGTGTTGCGCTGGTTTAGTTTGGGCGAGGGGCCGCAAGAAACGAAACTCAAAAGCACAACTGTGGCGGCGCCCGCGAAGCGCTCAAAGATGATGCGATCACAAAAGAGGGCTTTGAAGACAAAAACAAAACTTCAGGAAAGCAAGGGAAGGGGCGTTAACGACGGATTAAAAGCGGCAGCAGAATCCGAGATGGAACACGCGGCAGTGACCGTGAATTTAATCAGTAAACGTGCAAACAGTGATGAAGAAATGGAGTTAATTGGAGAGGACATCGAGGGCGAGGAGAGAGAAGCAGCAGGAGGCGAGGGAGACGAAAATGGTGATCACGAAAATAGCGATGTTGAAACGCTGGATTTCTTGACAGAATTGTCCAGTGAAATGTCTGAAGAACCAATTTTGTTGCCCAATATTTTAATCCCCTGTACAAAGTGCGGTGACGTGATAAACATCTGTCGACTGCAAAGGCATAGGAATGTACACACCGCGTTACAAACTCTCAAGTACTCACAGAATCAGAGGCCGAAGAACCTGAACGCGTTAGTCAGAAGGAGAAAACTTCTGATAAAACAGCAACAAGATGCAAGTTCGCGAAACGTGCGGGATCCATTTGGAGACAAGCATTTGCATAAATTAAACACGGCCTTTGAGATTTTGAAGCTAGAGCTTGAAGGCAACGTGGATGCGAGATGTCTGGGTGATCAAAATATTGCAGGTTTGCCTCTTGTGTTTACTAATAATATATTTTTAACCTTAAATGGATCTTTGGAGACCAAGTGGGATGATCTAAGACAGGTTTTTAAATGCTTAGCTTGAAAGCTTAACTCGTTGATCCAGAAAAACACTTAACGCTGTAGGCTGTAAGAAGATTCTCGCTGGAGTCAATTTCACACCGACAAAGGAAGAACACAAAGAAAAAGAATTAATTAACTTAATATCCTGGGACAACCATTTAAAGTACTCTGTGTAATTGGTTACTTGGGAGACAGTTTTTAGACTTCAAAGCGCTCGGTTTGCCTTGACGATTTGAGTTATGAAGTTACGTGATGCATAATGGTCGTAATGGTATTTGCGTAACCCTTATTTTAAAAACAAAACATCTTCTATGTGCCCTTTACACCCCAAGAGGTGTTAACTCGGATTAAAACGCATGTACAACGCAAAGTCAAGTTTAGTACAACATTTAAATGTCATTTGCGAAGTCAGTCAAGCGAACCGTCCGCACAGGCTCTCAGAGGCAACCTCGTTCTTCAGAGGCTCAGCTCTTTACTCGACTCGATCTTACTCTAGCGGCGAAAACTGTTTTTTTTTTTTGGTCTTTATTTGCCTGCTCCCCGAAATTCGGTTCAACTACAATTGCTTCACACAATTTCAGGTTCAGTTGGGTGCCTTATTGATGTGTACTTAATTTCGCTCCTGATTTCGCTGGTCTTTAATTTCGCGTTTATCGGGATTTGAAAAAAATTGCAAATTAACCCGCGAAAAAAATTCCTCGCGAAATTTAATGCCCCCTTTTTCATATTTTCCTACGCCAGTAAAGAGAGAGTCGGTCGATCGATGACACGGTTCAGGTAAAGCAACTGCTACTTTAATGCTACTGTAGGCACAACAGCGAAATACAGGACAAACTCAAGAGCGAGACACGAGAGCGTCTAGGGCGCGTGTCCTTATCTACAGTACCGCTGACCGGTACTGGCGCTATTTAAATCGAGAAAGTAAAATCCCTCGAAATACTAGCTGTCTCGCCAAAACGCGAAATTAAGTTCTCGCGAAATAAAGTACCAGCCCCCAAAATGATCCCCAATAAGGCAATACCCTCTTTTTTGTTAGAACGTCTAATTTACGGACAGAAGTTGATCGTTCTTAGTTGTGTTTATAGACTAAAAGCGATTCTTTCAAAGAGAAAAAAGCATGATCAGTATTTAATAATACAATAACAACAGCAGAAATTTGTTGAACTTTAAATTGTCGGCCCTTTTTTTTCAAGTCGCAATCCATCTATATCCTCTTTGAAAGCCAAAGAAACGCACCTTTAGTTTTGTAGACTTGCCACAGGTCGTCCTCACGAAGTTCATTGCAGAAAAACGTAAACCGAGTGGAGTGAACATTTTAGGCCTCCAAGCAGTCGGACGAGCGACAAAGGCCTTTTTTCAAAAGTCAAATAGTTTTGGTAAGGAGTATATAGTAACATCGTTATCTTTTGATAGTAATTTATAACAAGACTGATTTTTTTTTTTTCGCTTTTCTTTGATTCCAGAGATAAAAGTTTCAGGTGAAGGTTTTGATCTCTCTTGCACAACAGCAGCTGGGGTTTGCGAAGAAGCAAACAAGAGGTGGAAAAACATGGAGGATGTGCACATCTATAAGGACAACTTCCTCGACCACATAGACAGCGCATTTTTCGCGGTTTACGATGGTTACAGCGGAAAACACACGGCGGAAAAGTGTAGCCAGCATCTTCATGTTTATTTAAAAGAAGAGCTCGACTCTGTTATAACTCATGAACAAGCTACGCCAACGCGAAAACAAGTTGCTGCGGCCTTCAAAAGTTCCTTTTCGAACACTGAAAGACTTCTGGTACTGTCCGAGGAGGAGCGGTCACAAAGCAGATGGAGTGGTTGCTCAGCAGTAACGTGCGTTTTGACTCGTGATATGTGCTTCATAGCGAACGCGGGAAATGTGGGTGCTATTTTGTTACGGGATGGTGACATTGTTAAAGTTCTCACACACAAGCATGACTTGTATAATAAGAAAGAACGCGATCGAGTGAAGAAGTCAAGCGGTGTCATCGTTAAGACCGAAAAGTGCGCCCTTATAAATGGTGCCTTAGGTGTGACAAGGGGCATCGGGAGCATTGGAGATACGGACTTAAAGAGATGTGTTATTAATGAGCCTGGCGTGAAAAGCGTTCCTTTGGACCCCACTGATCAACTGCTCGTCATGGCTTCGGGGGGATTTTGGAAGTTGTTTTCATACGAAGAAACCGTTCATTTGGTCAACGGATTTTTCGGACAGATGAAAAAGGAAGCAAAGAACGAGATCATTGGAGGCAGACAAGGAAAACAAAGGACATCCAAAACGGGCTCTGGAGACCTAACGAAGGATGCAAAGAGCCCTCAGATCTTTTTAAAGGTTGTAGATCCCGACAAAAACAATAACGCGTTTTTCGATCACGGTGTAAAGACAGGATATTTCACGACAAGCGAAAGACAAATAAGTCGAAGCAGAAGTGAAGTGAATTTGGGGAAGCTACAAATGCACCGCCAAGAAATAAATTTTGCTGAAGAACACCACCTTTCAGCTAAAACACAAGAAACAAGCGACACTATTGAAACGAAAGAAATCAGCGACAAAAACACAGACACGAACGATGATATTTCTTCGAACGACGTCACACTAGATGACATCACACTGAAATATCTACGTCATCACCGGTTTTCTCTCCCTGATAATAAAACGTTTCAAGCGCTGAAAGATTTTGGAGGAAAAGAGCTAACTAAGGAAGAAAAAGCGCGATTGCTGGCTAAATGCCTAGCGGAGAGGCTTGTTAAATGCGCGCTATATGCAGCGTCTATGGACAACGTGACTGTGTTTGTTGTTTTATTGCCTGGATTCTCTATGGTTAACTGGCCGATGGTTACACCGGAGGTTCTAGAGGCTTTAGATGTGTTTGTAAACGAGGATGATCTGTACTAGCAAGGCTGTGATACGGGTATCCTGTTCAATGCGTTTTATATAGTGGGGCGCCGGCGAAAATTAGACCGAGGGAAAAACGAGGGAAGCGTGGAGCAAGGACCCTCTTCCTCTTTTTTGCGCCACTCTCCACTGAACGCCTGGAACAGGTTATGAAACAAAAAAACTTATCTAACTGATTAGAAGAGATATTTTTTTACCGAAAGAAGAGTTTCGTGCAGTGCCTGGGTATAAAGTTCAGCTGGCGCGATTAGCCTTGCGCAATCGCACAATTATTGTTCAAAAATAGTTGTTTATTGCTTCACACTCGATATCAACAAGATAAAATGTTGTTTCAAATAACTTTGATATGAATTAAAACCGTGAAAAAATTAAAACACATTATAAAGATTAATCCTGGTTTGCTCTGTTTTTTGCGGTCGAACACCACAAATTACAGGTGGATTCCACAGAGCACGACTGATTTAAACCGACTCCATAATTACGGCTTAAGAGAGGAATTGCAAACACTCAGTGACATAGACTGAAACCAAGTTTTTGAATCCACGAGATAAACAACCCCACCAAACCCATTCGTTCACTGAAACTGCACCGCTGGTCGGTGCAATCCTGTATTCAGCTACATATGTCTCGATCGTTAACGTGCACAGGGGAAGTTTGACAATAGGGCGTAGTCCCCTGTTACAAAAACCAACATTTCCAAATTCCAATTCGACCAGGAATCAGGTAGACGAAGAACCATTATGTGGATGTGCTACCTGCAAATCGTTATTTATTTATTTATTTATTTATTTATTTATTTATTTATTTACATACCTACGGAGGGTGATCGGTCGTTTCGCCCACGTCCCATTCGCTAACGTCGTAAAAAAGTGCGGTACGCATGTGTATACCTCGTTCTTTCAGCAACTGATCAGGCAAAAGCAGTTGGGGAACTGACCCAACACGTACGTGAAACGACTTCAGAAGTTGGCGAACAGGGGGTTGGCGAAACGACTGTAAACCCTACGGAGCATACA